CCGGACACCTGGCTCGTTACCTGAAAGAGGGAGGGACAACGAGCGTCAAAGTGCTACCAAGCAACATCACAACCAACCCTAAGGGAAAGGGCTCGTTGTATAAGAAAATACAAATTTATACATAGAATAATCATATCATTACTCCTAACAAATAAATGGTTTTAGTATTTAGGAAACTACAACACGAGCGTAGGTACGTTGAGCGAATAATCCAAACAAGGAAACCCTCATGTATATACCTTATATCTCAAATTGTAAATCCCTAAATACCGAACCCAAAGTCTAATACAAGAACAATAAAGAAAAGAGACAACCTATTACATTACGTAAAACAAATGTCATGTCTAAACCACACGAGTGTCATGTCGAAATCACATAAGTGTCATGTTCGTGGACTAACCAATATCCAACACATGGACTGATTTGTGAATGTCCAACACGAGGACTGAAATAGATTATAGTCCAACACGAGGACTTCAATAGATTATAGTCGAACACGAGGACTGTGTATATAAAACATGGAATGCAAATGTTAAAGGTATACATATCCTACTCTTGCACGTGTCTCAATGTACAGATCTAAGCTTGTGACAAAACATGCCATCTTACATGTGTAGATGAAATCAACAATACTGTAATTTATACCCGATAAATGAGGCGACTCCTCGTACTCAAAATGATAAACAGTACACTCGGAAATATATACACTATATATATACACAGCAGGTGGATAAACAGAAACAGAAAAGAAACTACTCGTCAGTCGACTCACAGTTGACTGGGATCATCAATCGACTCATGGTCGACTGGGATCACCAGTCGACTCATGGTCGATCGAAAGAAGAACAAAACTGAATCCTGACAGTCGACTCACAGTCGACTGTGGTCATCAGTCGACTCACAGTCGACTGGGATCATCAGTCGACTCAAAGTCGACTGAACAGAGGGGTTTTCCCTATTCGTGCATGCTATGATATTTGCAAAAAATTCCTCTAAAAATCAGATTTTTATCAAACACAAACAATATATTATCAAATCTAAACATATGAGACAGTGGAAAATTCTTATAAAACATGAAAAATGAAATCTTGCATGTTAGATCTAACATTTAATCCCTAAACATGTATGAGAGCAATTAATCAAAATATGTTAGATCTAACATTTAATCCCTAAACATGTATGAGAGCAATTAATCAAAATAGAAACTCGTTTTTAAATAAATTCCATCCCTAAACATGTATGAGAGCAATTAATCAAAATAGAAACTCGTTTTTAAATAAATTCCCAGATCTGGTTTCATCAAAAATTCGTTGGTGAGGATTTAGAGATCTGAAACACATGATTTTTAGCATCTACACTAATAGTAACATCGATTTATACTTAAAAATAATTCTTAGGCTCAATAAACCTTATCAAAAATGTTTAGAAACTTTTAAAAACATGGGAGAGGGATTGGGCGAGATGCTACTCGCCTCTGGTGTGTTGAACAATGCCTGGATCCGCGAGAGAACAACTCCCTTCGCTGCAAACCACAAGAAGCTGCTGAAAATCCCCGAAAATCTCCCAAAAACGCCCATAATCCAAAGCTAGGGTTTTAGAGGGGAAAGGGGGCTAGGGTTTCTGGGGAGAACTGATGAAAGGGTGACTTTCTCGGGTAAATGAGATAAATACCAACAGTTAAAACTCGACCCGGAATCCTAAACAGACGCGAACTGGAAAATCCTGAAATCAGCCATCAGTCGACTCATAGTCGACGGAGCAAACTACATCTCTGCCTGTGCATGATTTGCAAATTGGCAAAACTCAACCTCAAAACTCAAAACACTAGTTATCATGCACAACCATGACATAAAGACATTTATCATAAATAAACATTATTTTTCACTAATAATCATATATAGACAAATTAAAGAACCAAACTAGAAAAATCATAATTATAAGCACCTTCCCCGGCAAACACGCAAAAAATATGATATGGGGTAAATAAAATAAAGTTATAAGTGCACAACTATTAAGTTATAGCATAGAAAGATGTTGATCCTATGAGGAAGGTATTGTATAAAATAATCTAGATTGGTTCCTAGAGATATGTGTGGACAAGTAGGAGTGAAAGTGTGGATGTATAAACGGCGAATGATTAGTTATAAATAATAGAAAACTAGACCAAGAGGGGAGAAAGAGAGATGAAGAAACAATAGAAAAATGAAATCAAGAAAACAAATAAAAGAAAATAAAGAATAAAATGGAAGAACAAAATCAAAAAGAAAAAAATCATAACAAGTAAAAGATGCAGAAAATCAACTAGAGAAATGAGGAGTGTAGAATTTAATCCGCTTATTGAATTTATTTAGGATTTATGAACGACTCTCTTTTTATCATATTTTACTTTCAATTTATTAAGTATAGACTATCAAACTACTTAAGAAAAATATAGCATATCAAATTATCATCCAAGTTAAATCAACATTAATGGAAAATAACTAGATATTAATTCTAGAATTCATAAGCATAGCTTATCAAACAACTAAAAAAATATAGATTATCAAATTCTTCTTCTACTAATTAGTTCTTCAGTTGATTATCCTAAATATAATTATTTTAAGCATAATAGGGCAATCCGTAAAGTATAAAAGAAAACAAATTAGTCTCGTACAATTTTAGATTTCTTATAAGATTTTAGTTACACATTTTAGAAAATAAAAATAAAGAAACAAAATTCAAACTAGAGAGCATGAAAGAAAGAGAATAAAAAAATAGATGCTAATTACAAAACTAAGAATAGCAAAAAAAAATAAAGATCTAAATTATGAGTATAAAGAAATTCTAACTATAACCATAAAAATATAAGAAAGTAAATCTATACTAGAAAATAAAAATATAATAAAATAATAAAAAATATAAAAGTAAATCCACTCTACAAGGTATCAAAATAAATCTAATCTACCAAAAAATTAAAAAGAAAATATAATCCTAAAACATGAATAATTAAAGCAAGTAAATAAAAGAGAAAAAGAAAATCTTACATTGCAAGGGGTTGGCCCCTTAAAAGTAGATCATCATCTTCATCTTCATCAATCAACAAAGTGAAAAAAAAGAAAATTTTGAAGAGGATAAATTTTTTTATTAATTACAAATAAAGTTTTACAATTTTTGATGGACTTCTCAATTAAGAGTAGCCCTCCTCTTCAAATAGAGTTTAACAAAATTTTTAATACTCAAACACTCATTTCTATCCATATTTATAGAGTATTACAATCAATATTACCCTTGGATCAAGCTTAATCCCTAAGTTATACAATTTTAGTGTTTGATTTGTAACTTCTTTCTATGTATCGATACTACTATTGATGCGGGTATCAATTCCGGTATCGATACCACTATCAATATATATAACTATTGATATAGGTGTCGATACTATTATTGCTAGTGGTATCAATACTGGTGTCGATACTAGTACAATAATCTGACATTTCAGATGGCTTCGTCTCGTCGGGATTGGCATTTTTCATATATTATATGTTAGATTTTACATTATGGATTGGGAGATAATGTTGTTTCTTTGTGGATAGTCATCCTAAATATGAATTTAATTTAATTTATTTTCATATTGGATCCTTGCTTTTTCGGCTTCTATAGGTTGCTTGACTTGATCCTGTGCTTTAATAAAATGTTAAAAAATAAGGAAATTTGTGTTCTTTTTTTATCTCTTATTTCCTGAAGATTAAGAGAAAAACACATTATTAGTGATATATTTATTTAAATAAAATAGAATATGAGGATATAAAAGTGTAATAAAATGTGACTCTATATATATATATATGAGATATTTTATGGATCAAATGGGTGAATAAATACTATTTACGCAGGAGCTCTTTTAGGAGATTCAATCAAAAGCAAGGGATTCTTGGTGCTGGAAATAATTGCTGAAGGTTAGAGATAACTACATATTGTTATGGGGTCTATTCCAAATGTGAAGTAAAAGATAAGGGGCTATGCCTTTTAGGTACTCTCTCCAGACATTGATTTTTCATGAGCCAATTGTTGCTCAATCTAATGTGAGTTGGTATAAAATTGCATGGAGTAACCTTCATGTTCCTAAGCACTCATTTGTTGCTTGGCTTGCATTATATAAAAAGTAACTGACACTTGATAGGTTAAAAAAATTTGGTGTTGTGACTGCAAATCTTTGGATGCTCTGTCAACACGCTACGGAAAATAATGAATACCTTTTCTTTTCTTGTATGTACTCATGTGATGTTTAGAACAATCTTATGGCATGGTTGAACTTAAGATTTAGGAGTAGTAATTGGATGATTCAGCAAATGGGGTAGTCCTTCAATAAAGAGTGTGAAAAGAGCTTATTTTGCAGCTGCATTTTATTTGATCTGGTTTGAAAGGAACAGGAGAATCGATGCAGAGGGTGTCGAAGCGTAGCTAATTTTATGAAGAGGGTTAAGGATCATACTTATGTATATTTTCAAGTCGAAACCCCTGATAATTATCGTGCTTGGGTTAATTCTTTATGTTAGGTGGGGATGTTGGATAAGAATTAAACTTGTAATAATTTATTGCTTCTCAGTATTGAGATTTTTATTTTGCTTGTGTATTGTTGGGAATGCTTATGCAATGGTAATGAAAAAAAGCTTTTATTAACAAAAAAAAAAGATTTTACAGAAAAGATACATGTAACATAGCAATAATTAGTAATTAATTATAGCCAACTATATTCAACAAAAGATACGTGCATCATTAATGCCAAAGATAAGATTAAAGATATAACTAGCATGTGTTAATAACTAAAACCATGACAGTTCAGAAATTTGGTATTTGTTGCATGCATCTTATCTATCTATTTATACAACCTCCCCGTCGTTCTCACTAGTGATCAACAGTGTTGCCAAACCATGAAGCTCTCTTTACTTCATACTTCTCTAATTCTCTTCTCCATCCCTCTGCAAACGCTAATTCCACAGCCCACATCAGCTCTCCCTCTTTCAACGTCAGGCCGATGGATTATTGACGATATGACAGGTCAACGGGTGAAGCTTGCATGCATAAACTGGGCGGCTCATTTGGAGCCTATGGTGGCCGAGGGGCTGAACAAGATACGTTTGAATGAAATGTCAATGGTAATACATGTAAATGGGTTCAACTGTGTCAGGCTTACTTGGCCACTCTACCTCGTCACTGATTCCTCCATGGAACCGGCCGTCACCGTCCGTCAGTCCTTGCTCCGACTCGGCCTTAATTCATCTATCGAAGGAATCTTAGAATTCAATGATTGGATATTAGATCTACCCCTCATTCAAGCTTTCAAGGTGAGATGCCCTTATTATGTTTATGCAAACAACATAGCTAACTGGTGTATACAATGGCTGAGATATAGTTTTGTATCAGTGGTGGTCTCATATAATTAATGAGTTCATTGGCAATTTCTTGGATTATCTTTCCTGTTGTTGTCCTATCCTAATTATAGTAGCGTTGTAAGTGGTAGACGCACGTAAAAGTAAGTAAAAAGTTTCAGTAAAATAAGAAATTAATCTAGTGGTTTCATGTGACACCACTACACTATGTAGCCATGCCAATTAGTATATAATTCATGTTAATATATGCCTCCCATCTTTCGTAGGATTGTATGCCTGAGACTTATTTTCATGTCAAAGTAGATAGAAAATTTACTTAGCATATTTTTCACTGTATAAAAAAAAGGAGAGACCATTATTAGTCATAAACTTCTACTTATTAAGTGACAGGTTGGCATAGGCTTTGAGTAAAAATTGAGAATGAGTATTATACATGGGAGATGTGGTAGGTAAAATATTTTGTCTTTAGTCACCACCCTCTATTAAACAATGGACATTTATCACTTGTAGTCCTCTCAAGGATCCAAATCCATATTAATAATTCATGATTTTCTATGTAGGACTAAAATATCATATTAGCCTTAAAAGTAACATCCCCTTACCACTTTGGCCTAAAAAGGGGCAGCGGCATCACTTTGTCCTAAAAAGTATCAAATTGACAACACATAGGCCTTTCCAATAGTCGGAGGTAGTATTTAGAAAAACTTTAAGGGAAATTTTCATATATATATAACTTGAATCTCCAATATTTTAGGATTTACCCCTCAAATTCCAAAATATGTATAAAAAAACTTCTCTCTCCCTCCCTTCCCATCATCTTTTCCCTCCTCTTTCCCACCATCTCCCTTTCCTTTTGTCCTCCTGATCCTCAACCCTTCTTTCTCTCTCCCACTCTCTTCCTTCTCATATCCTCACTTCTGAGGAGATTGTGTTTTTGAATATTGGAGAGTGCAGAGTGAATGGGTGAAGCAAGGAGGGAGATAGAGCGGGAGAGAGGAAGAGGAAGAGGGGAAGGTTAGATTTTTTTTGTAGAATGTTTAAAGTGAGGGACTGGGAGTAGATGGAGCAAGAAGGGAGAGTGAGTGGGAGAGAAGAAGAAGTGGGAGAGAGGAAGAGGAGAAGAAAGGAGAGGAAGTGGGACAGAGGAGGCTAGGGATTGAGTGTAAAAGAAAAAGAAGGAGATGATGGGAAGAAGGAGGGAGGAGATGATTGGAAGGAAGAAGTTTTTTACAAATTTTGGAATTTAAGAGAGGGTTTAATCCAAAACATATAGAAGATTGAGTAGTCTGTATGTAACATTGCTTTAATATTTCGCTTAAAAATTTTCTCCGGCGATCAAAAAGGCTTATGTGTCACTAATTTATCACTTTTTACGTCAAAGTATCATCGATATCACTTTTTTTCAAAAGTGATATAGATGTGTCATTTTTTAGACCTATTTGATATATTAGATGCTTGAGTAGTCATTGCTTGTTGTTTAGATTTTAATATATGTGCGATTTTTGAAATCATAATCTTGGTTTCCTTATTTGGAGAAGGTAATCACTCTAATATGCTTATGTATATGCTGTTGCGCGTCGGCGGAAGCGTGCGCACAAACCAAACGAGTTGTTGAGCAATTAGAGGAGAACAACTAACGAGTGCAATTCACAAAAGAATGACCAAAATCACACACAAACAAAGAAATTTATGTGGTTCGGCAAATTGCCTACGTTAACAAGGAGAGGATGGGTAGATTTCACTATATGGAGGAGAAAACAACGAGTTATAACTCACACAAACTCTCAAAATAATCCTAACCAAAGATCTCTCACTCCCTCACAAATAATCTCACTCTAAAAGTGCTCAAAAAATCTAAATTCTCTGATTAAGAAACCCTAGAAAACGTGTTTCTTTTTATATCAAAATCCAAATCAAAACCAACCAGGAAACCAAATCAGGCCCAGTAACCCGATATCGGTCGACTAATGATACCTCATCAATCAACTAATCAATGTGCATCGGTCGACTGATGAGGGTCCATCAGTCGACCGGTCAAAACACCAATTTCGCAACCCTATAGGTGCATGTTGTCAGTCGACTAATCATGATCGATCAATCGACCGACCCGAAACTATAATTTTTTTTGGTCGAATCGGTCGACCGATCAGACCTGATTAGTCGACTGATGAGCCTCCTCTTGTTCGTCTTATTTTTCTACACCGTTTTTTAATAATTCTCCACATCGGCAAAGTGTTCTCAAAACTGAGCCGACACCAAAATGAGCACCAATGCGTCGTCTCTTCAAATCTAGCTATACCAATGTAGTTGCCTATGTACTCCCTCTCCCAAGGGATCAAGTCACCCGTAGTTCATCCAAATGACCTTGAAAGGCCTCAAAAAGCACAAATCCATAACAAGCTTCTATAATGATCAAACTTGTTACTCGGGACCACCTTCGTGAGCACATCTGTTAGATTATCTTTTGTGTGGATCTTCACGAGCTCCACATCCCCATCTTAAAGAACCTCTCGGACGAAGTGATAACGAAAGTCAATGTGCTTCATCCTCGCATGGAAAACATGATTTTTCGCCAAATAAATAGTACTCATGCTATTATAATGAATGATGACGGATCGCTGCGAAACACCAAGATATTCCAAAAGTCCTCGAAGCCAAATCGCCTCCTGTATAGCCTGCGTAATCACCATATACTCTACGTCCGTCATTGACAAAGCTACTGTAGACTGCAAGGTGCATCTCTAACACACCGTGTATGGGTTAAAGTGAGCACATATCCCGTCGTCGACTAGCGTTTATCCAAATCTCTAGCATAGTCTGAGTCAACATAACCAATAAACAGCTACCCACGACTATTGTCCCGCTCAAACACCAAACCAATATTGAGAGTACCTTGAATGTACCTCAAATTCCACCTCATGGCATCCCAATGATACGGACCTGGATCGTACATGTATCATGAAACCATGCTAAATACCTGTGAAAAATCTAGCCTTGTACATACCATAGTATACATCAAACTTCCCACTCTGCTCGCATAAGGAGTCTTTGACATCAACTCTCTATCTTCAACTGTCTTCGGTTAAAGGTCAGCTGAAAGTTTCAAATGGGCTCCCAAAGGTACATTGACTGGCTTTGTCTCCATACTCACATTGAACCGCTGTAGCACCTTCTTCAAATAAGCCATATGTGTCAAACAAATTCTGCCCTTATCTCTGTCTCTGCCGATCTCCATCCCTAAAATGTGCTTTACTTCACCAAAATCCTTCAATCTCCATCCCCAAAATGCTTTTTACTTCACCTAAATCCTTTATCTTAAACTCGCTCAAAAGCTGTATCTTCAACTCATCAATGGAGGATCTGGAAATACAAGCAATCAACATGCCATCGACATAAAGCAATAAATAAATGTATGCACCTCCATTCAACTTATGATATTACACACAAGGATCAACTTAGCTCCTAATGTACGAATGGTCGAGCATAAACCCATCGAACCGCTTATACCACTGTCTCGAAGATTTCTTCAACCCGTATAGCTATTTCTTCAATCTACACACTAATTTCTCATTTCGTCCAGCTCAAAACCCCAATGGCCGAGTCATATAAATTTCTTCATCAAGATTGCCATAAAGAAAAATTATTTTTACATCCAACTGATCCAATTCCAATCCATATTGTGCCACCAAATCTAGCAAGACCTGAATCGAAGAGTGCTTCACCACCGGAGAGAACACCTCATTATAGTCAATGCCTTCTTCCTGTGCGTAGGTCTTTGCTACCAACCTAGCTTTGAACCTCACTGGAGTGTCCTGAATGTCCTCCTTCTTGGTATACACCCATTTGCAACAAATTGTCTTCCGCTCCTTTGGAAGCTCGACAAGCTCCCATGTGTCATTCTTCTGAAGAGAGTTCATCTCCTCCTGTATAGGTTCCTGCCTCAAATCAGCCTCTAAACTCTGCTCAGCCACTCTGAATGTAGTAGGAACCATCTCATCGATACTCTCCGCCGGAAGTGCATATGCAACCGCTGTATCTGTATACCTTGCTGGCAATCGTATATCTCTCCTGGGTCTCCGAACCACAATTGAATCTTAAACCTGAGCCGTTGGTCCCTGATCTTGCTCTGTCATAATTGTATCCTCCAAATAATCAATATGCTTGTCTGGCATCATCTCAGTTGGTACTCTAATGGATATGGTTCCACGTGGACTATGTGGAGCTACATCAATCTCCACCATCTACGATGTCTTCTCTGTTGGGGTGCTCTCCACCTAATGAGAGCTAGAAAGCTTCAAGAGCGAAGTCTTATCAAAAGTGATGTCTTTACTCAGTACAATCTTCTTTTCAACTGGATCTCAAAGCTTGTATCCTTTAACACCATGTTTAAATCCCACAAATATGACATTCCTAGCTCGATGCTCCAATTTATCTGTCTTCACATGATAAAATATAGGGCACCAAAAAACCTTGAGCTGATTATAGTCGTGTGCTGGCTCTCCTGACCATATCTCCATAGGGCTTTTTCCCTCAATCGCAGATGAAGATAGCCTATTAATGAGGTAGCTCGTATATAAAAGTATCTCAGTCCAAAAGATCTTCTCCAAACCACTCTATGATAACAAACAACAGATCTTCTCCAGTAAAGACCGATTCAACCTCAATGCCACCCCATTCTGCTGTGACGTATGACTAACTGTGAAGTATCTCTCTATGCCCTCATCTCGACATAGTTGCAGAAAGGGGTTTGAAGTATACTCTCCACCGTTGTCGGATCTCAACGTCTTGATCTTTCTCCCTATCTACAGTTCCAATCTACTCTTCCACTCCACAAATATCTCTATGACTTCACTCTTATGCTTCATGGTGTACACCCAACAATGCCTAGAACAGTTATCATCAAACGTGACGAACCAATGTCGACCACCAAGTGATGTCGTCTTGGTGGGAGCCCAAACATCAGTGTGCATGTAGTCTAAGATGTCGATTGTCCTATGAATGGCTATCCCAAACTTCACTTTAGTCTTCTTTCCAAGAATACAGTGCTCACAGAATTCAATCTTCCTACTCTAAGCTCCCTTCAATAGCCCTTGCTTGCACAATGCCTGCAGTGACTATTTTTCTGTGTGTCCCAATCTGTAGTTCCAAAGTCTACTCGCATCCGCCTCTGCAATTGCTAAAGCTACCTGACCAATCTCGGTGTTACCCTTTAGATAATAAAGATTCTTACTATGTACCGCCTTCATCACTACCAAAGATCCCTTAGTAACTTTTGCTACAACATTCTCAAAAGTCACATTGAATCCCTTTGCCTCTAAAGCGCCAACAGGAATAAGATTCTTCTTCAGCTGAGGAATAAATCTCACTTTATTCAACTCTCGAACAACTCCATCGTGCATCCGAATCTTGATGGTACCTATCCCATGAATGTCACAGGACTAATCGTTTCCCATGACCACCACACCCCTATCGAGCTTCTCAAAAGATGCAAACCAATCTCTCCGGGGAGTCACATGATAAGTAGCACCAGAATCCAGCATCCAATCCGATGCATCAGCATGGATAACCTCTAGAGTAATCAATAGAGAAAAGCATGAATCATTTGAATCATCACCATCTTTAGCGACATTCACCTCACTGGCCTTCGGCCCCTTCTTCTTTCTATTCTCTTTCTTTTTGAGCTTTGGGTAATCTCTCTTCCAATGTCCTTGTTATCTGCAAAAGGCACACTGGTTCTTTGAAATCTGTTAGTGGCCTCTAGACTTTGACCTGCCTTGATTACCACCTGTTGGATATGGACTCCTTCCTCTCGTCAACAAGGCCTCTCCTAAAGTGCTAGCTCTGGAAGACTCTTTATCCTTCCCCCTCAAGTCAAAAATCGTCAACGCATTAGTCACTTCACTATAGGTGATGAAAGATCTACCGTTCAATAAAGTAAGCATGAAGGTATCATACTCCTTATCGGGTAAGGAGCCTAACAATCGCCTTGTACTCATCCGATATCTTCTCATCCACATTCGCCATGTCCGACAACAACTTTGTGTAGTTGTTCATATGACCTGCAATCAAGATACCCCATGACATCTAGAATTTGAACAATCTTCGCAACAAGTTCAACCGATTCTCAACACTCTTCGTAAGATACTTGTTATTGAGAATCTCCCACATCTTCATTGCAGACGTCACGTTGATAACATCGTACTTTAACTCTTGTTTCAAACAAGATCTAATCACCCCACAAGCATTCTGAATCATCTTGTCCCATATTGCCTTATCATACTTCAGTGGCCTCTCATGAGTCATAATAGTCTTTTCCAAATTTTGAGCATTCAATGGATCTTGTACATCACTCATCCACAACCTAAAGTTGATCTTGCCGTCATACTTCACAACACTGATCTTCGTATTCTGAAGTGCAACCTGAACTGTACTCGTCGTACCCTTGCTATTTTCACCACTATCTCCTGCCATAGTTTGCTAACTCTGAATTGTAGAGAAAAGATTCGAACTTGATAGATTTGTAAAATTACCCGACTTGAACCCTAGATTGGATTCCAAATGAACTCCCAACCACACAAGGAAGGCGAGATCTCTAACGGCAACTCGCAATGCTATCTCCACCGAAGCCTAAAACTCCAAGCTCCAAGCTTCCAATACCGAATTTCTTCCACCCAAACCAAACCCTAGGTTTGAAACCCTAGAGCTTTGATACCAATTGTTGCGCGTCGGCAGAAGCGTGCGTACAAACCAAACAAGTCGTAGAGCAATGAGAGGAGAACAACTAACGAGTACAATTCACAAAAGAACGGCCAAAATCACACACAAACATAAAGATTTACGTGGTTCAGCAATTTGCCTATGTCCACGGGGAGAGGATGGGGAGATTTCACTATATGGAGGAGAAAACAACGGGTTACAACTTACAACTCACACAAACTATCAAAATAACTCTAATTAAAGATCTCTCACTCCCTCACAATAATCTACCTCTCAAAGTGCTCAAAACAATCTAAATTCTCTGATTAAGAAACCCTAGAAAACATGTTTCTTTTTATATCAAAACTCAAACCAAAATCAATCAGGAAATCAAATCAGGCCCAGTAACCCAATATTGGTCGACTGATGATACCTCATCAGTCGACTAATCAATGTGCATCGGTCGACTGTTGAGGGTCCATCAGTCGACTGGTTAGAACACCAAATTTGTGACCCTGTAGGTGCATGTTGTCGGTCAACTGATCATGTTCGGTCAGTCGACCGACCCAAAACTCTTATAATTTTTCTTGCAGTCAAATCGGTCGACCAATCAGACCCGATCAGTCGACCGATGTACCTCCTTCGGCACGTCTTGTTTTTCTTCGCAGTTTTTCAACATATGCAATGTTGAATTGGTGAATAAAAAGTATATTCATTGACAAAAAAAAAGACAGTAACCAATTAGTTGATAGTGTAGTCTAAGTTTTAGTAGTGATCAAAAGATGCATGTGAGTATGAGTTGATTAATATGTTATTTCACTTTGAGTTTTTTCAAAAATCTGATGTTTATTATTTTAATTATATTTTTATTTTTTCTAATTGTAGTTTTAAATATTAATTTTCTCAAGTTTGATTTAAGACAGAGCAAGTTTCTCGTAATTTGTTACAATTAAAAGACATAAAACAAGAAAAATTAATAAATTTGATTATCTAAAGAAACCCCCAAAACATATAACATAAACATTTTAGATTCAATTTTGCAAGATGTGTCTTGGATTCAGTTAAAAGTATAAAAATTAACCACGGAACGTGGGGGTGTTTGATTTTAAATTTGTAGAAAAATATAATATTCAAGGAGCAATTAACAAAAACAATACTTATAGAATTTCATGCAAATTGAAATGGTATAAAAATCAACGTAATTATCTACTTCAAGAAATCCAATGAATGACGATTCATCCGATTAGGTATTTGCAATTTTTTCACTGATGTATTAATAAATTCAGTACAAACAGAGGATATGCCATTAAATCATACCAACTTTAGACAAAATAACTAATATGACTAAGATAACTCAGATCTCAAGAAAATATTTCATAACCCCTTCCATACGTTAAATAGTTTATTTCCACAAATGTTTTGCAGATAACAACCCCAAACTTGTTAATTCTATTAAATCAATTGAAGATTGTCCACTTTAAACCCCTCAAAGTAACACCATTAAATGTTAGTGTCAGTACGTGATGGAAAAAGGCAAAAATATGTCTTCTCCTAAAATATTAGTAGAAATGATAAAAAGAGGATATTTTTGAGTTCAGTTATTTTCTCCCTTTCTTGCTTGCTTGCGAGGGATGCAACACATGTTATACACTTCAGGGGAATGACATCAAGGGTGTGCTTGGCAAACTCTCTCATAATTAGTCAAGATTGATCCTGGCCCAACTTTAAGGTAAACTAGTTCTTTTTTGAACTAAGGGAGGGGTGGTTCAAAAAAGAACAAGTTTTAGGCCTCATTTTTGGCCCAACAAAAACTAGGTCAGAGCTTGTCTAGTGTTTGCGAAAAAAAAAGAAACCCCCAAAACTGGATTATGTGCGGTCCTTGCCTAGTTTTAAGGATTTGCTAAACACAACTCAAGTCAGAGTGTTAAATCGAAAATTAATATTCAAGATATTAATGAGAATAGAAGAAATTTAGGGTGGTTATGTGCAAAATTCCTCAAAATTAAGACGATTTTGTAAAATTAAAATAGTTAAGAGGGATAATCTGAAAAAGCAATTGACCTTTTAAAGCAAGTTTTCTTTTTGAATCTACTCAATATATTATTCTAACTGTCGTTATTATCAAGTACCCAAAATTTGATAAATCACTACTTTGAAATAAAGAAAAACCGCCTTCTTAGCTTTCTCATTCTCCAGCTTCGCTATATTGTTCGCCTCCAGCGTCATCTTGTCTGTCCTCTACCCCTCCGTTTTCTGTGTTGGAAACATCGATGTCAATGAAGATCGAAACATTAGGTACTAAAATTGGGTAATAAGATTTTTAGAAGTGTCGCAAATCTAGTCAGTTCAATGTGTGATGTTTAATCTAATGAAGCTCAATGTGTGACGATCAATTAAATCTAATGAAGTTATAAAGTAAGATTTAGTTTCACATTAAAAGGTAGTCTGTAGGTGGACATATGGTTGAATGTGTTTGGATTAATGAATCAATTAGATTAAATTATTTTTAGTCAATTTGAGTCTAATTAAATATATTAGCAAAGTCCATTTTGATTCATGTGCATTTGCACCCGAGCGAATAGGTATCAGGGACACGGGCATTTTGATACTCACTTTGTTTGGGGGACTCTGTTACCATAGGTTGTGACTGAAGGGGGAGCGCATCTTGCAAAATATTTTATTAGGTGGTGTACATAGTCGAACATAACTTAGGTTCTCTTGGATGTACATGCCACGACTTTTGCTTCTGGTGTTAATTTGTTTGTCTACGAAAATGTTAAGGTGACATGCTTTAGTAAGGTATTAGCGCTGAGTTGGATTAGCTGAATTTGAGCTAACATGCATGCATATTTCTGATTATGTCACATTCGTTCATTTTTCGATGAATACATAATGGTAAACTGTGGGTTCCTAAAAGACAAGAAAGACAATTGGAGTAAACTTTCTACTACTAAAAATAGAAATGGAAACAACTCATTTCCTATTATCTTACCTTGAACTGATATCATGCAGGCTGTGGTATCAAACCTTAGAAGCAACAATGTAATGGTGATACTAGACAATCACATAACCAAGCCAGGCTGGTGCTGCAACTACCATGATGGCGATGGCTTCTTCGGGGATGACTTGTTCAACCCTAGCGAGTGGATCTCAGGACTGACCAAAATGGCAGGAATGTTCAAAGAAGACGACAATGTAATAGGCATGAGCCTAAGAAACGAGCTCAGAGGTCCAAGACAGAATGTTCCAGACTGGTACAAGTTTATGCAAATGGGGGCTGAGGCAGTGCACAAGGCGAACTCTAATGTTCTAGTTATACTATCGGGACTTGACTTCGACACTGACCTAAGCTTCCTCTTGAATAAAAAGGTCGATGTATCTTTTACAACCAAGTTGGTGTACGAGATGCACTGGTATAGCTTCACTAACGGTGACACCTGGGACTCTAATTTGAATGATGCTTGCAGTTTTGTAACTTCCAGAGTGATGAGCAGAGCGGGATTCTTACTAAGTCACGGATGGCCCTTGTTTGTGAGTGAGTGGGGAGTCAATCAAAAGGGAGAAAACAATTTTGAAAACCGATACTTAGATTGTTTTCTGGCATTTGCAGCTGAACATGATGTGGACTGGGGTCTTTGGGCATTGCAAGGGAGTTATTATCTCAAAGAAGGAAACGTTGATGTGGAGGAGTTCTATGGTTTTAATAATTTTACTTGGAGGACACGGAGGAATATTACATTCTTCAATAGGATCTATAAACTGCAAACTCCCTTCCAAGGTATTGGTTGTCATAATGTCTAATTCTCTGAAACCTTATGCAATTAGTTCACTTGTGTGATTACATTAACTGCATATAATTATCAATCAAAAGTATATCTAAATCCATTAATGTTAATATAACTTTTTCTAATATTGTATGATTGAACTTCATGGTACAGGTCCAGGACTCAACCATGCGCTCCATACAGTACTCTACCATCCAGTAACTGGGTTGTGCGTCAACCCATTTGAGTCATATAAGTTGCAGTTAGGCTCCTGCAACTCAGCGAAAGGGTGGAGATACACGAAGGAGAAAATGATCCAACTTCAAGGAACAACCTTATACATGAAACAATCGGGTCAAGATGGGAGCGTGATGCTTGTAGACTATCATACTGACCCTAGTTTGAAATGGGAGCTGGTATCTACAACAAAAATGCACATCTCTTCACAGAGTGAGACTTATTTGTGCCTGGATGTGGGCAAATTTAACAATACTCTCGTGACGAGTCCATGCAGGTGTCTTAGTAAAGACAAAGACTGTGGCCCTCAGGATCAATGGTTCAAGATGATTTCCAGTAATAGACCAGTAGTGGAGCAACTATAACATATTAGCATTTGGAGAGAATGTAGAGAATGAAATTGGAAATAGTTGATGAATGGAAAATAAAATCAATCAATTTAAACAAATAAGGTTCTATGTACCTACCTATGCATGCATTTTGGCTAGTTGCAAGAAAATGGATAATAAAAAAATATTAAGAAACCAGCGAAGGTAGATATCAACAATATGGATAGATAAAATTCTTAAGAGTTTGATCTAATAGGTGATTTCTTAGGGTTGTGATAGCAGGCGATCTAGATCTTGTTATCGTGTTCCTTGCTGAGGAAAATTGGGAGAAAATGTAAAGATTCAATGAAGATGAATGGAGAGCAAAGCCTAGTTCAAAGTTCATCTCTAGGTTTAGAGCTAGAGGATGGATTATATGATGGTGTTTTGGGATCTCAATGAATGGGGACTACAGGACCGATGGGAGCTCGTAAGAAGATGTTGGGAAATTACCCAGATTTCCCTAGTGTCAGATTTAAGAGAGCGAAAAATAAAATACGCAAAATTTGGGGACACGCAAGATTTACGTGGTTCGGCACAAAATTGCCTATGTCCACGGACTGCTGCAGATCTTTCACTATTTGGAAGAAATTTTACAAACACTCTCACAAATTTCTCACACTCCCAGCTTCACTCAGAAAATTTCTCTCAATTTTCTCACTAAGACTTTTTCTCTAAGCCTTTCTTTTCTCTCTCTTATTCTTCTATAAGAGAAGTTGTTTCTGGGATGAGTTTTCCTTAAGAGTTTGTGGGCCTATTTATAGTGTTTGGGAAAACACTATGCACTAATATTTTATTAGTGGTGGGGCCCGGGGTGGGGCCTACGTACAATTTTTTTCTTGCTCTGGGACCCGCTCACCTATCCTCTTCTGATGCTTTGTCAAAAGATGTTGGCTTGGTTTCTTTGGACGGTGGTTGCAGTCAAAAAAAATATGGGCGGCTCCTTTAAAACATGTGGACGGCTCGTTTGCTTCTCTCAATTAGAGAAGTCCTCCCCCCTTCTTTGACTAACAATCTCCCACTTAAAGACTGATTTTAATCTGTCTTCACATCTCGATATATGCAGCAGCTCTTCCCTGGTCTTGATACTATAACAGGCCAACTGAAGCTGAACACAGCTTCAGTTTGTCAGTAGGCACCGTCTTTGTCAGCATGTCTGTCGGATTTTGGGCTCCACTGATCTTTTCAAGCTTCAAAATTCCATCTTCCAGAAGTGATCGGATAAAATGATACCGCATCTGTATGTGCTTTGTTTTGGAATGAAAAGACGGATTCTTCACTAGATGAATAGCACTTTGACTGTCGCAGTATAAGACATTGTCTTCTTGTTTCTTGCCTAATTCATCCAAGAAATTTTGAAGCCACACCATTTCTTTGCTAGCTTCTGTAATAGCGACATATTCTGCTTTAGTTATGGAGAGAGCAACTATCTTCTGCAGTTGAGAAGCCCAACTCACTGCAGTACCTCCTAGAGTATATACATATCCTGTAGTGCTCTTTCTGATATCAATATTTCTGGCTAGATCAACATCTACATAGCCTGTTAGTATTGTATCTCCACCTTTGAAACAAAGTGCTTTACCTGTGGTGCCCCGTAGATATCTGATGATCCATTTGACTGCTTCCCAATGTACCTTGCCCGGATCATTCATGTGCCTGCTAACAGCTCCCACTGCTTGAGCAATATCCGGTCTTGTATAGACCATGACATACATCAGACTTCCAATTGCTGAGGCGTACGGGACCTTCGCCATGTGTGCACGCTCTTCCTCTGTCTTCGGTGACTGTTCTTTAGAAAGTCTGAAATGAACACCTAAAGGTGTACCCACTGGTTTCGCATCTTGCATGTTGAACCTGGAGAGTACTTCGTTGATGTACTCAGCCTGTGATAACATCAAGGTCCTAGACTTCGTGTCTCTCTTGATCCTCATTCCAAGAATCTGTGATAGCACCAAGATCTTTCATCGCGAACTGCTTTGACAATTTTTGCTTCAAATTTATAATCTCTTGTAGATCTGATCCTGCAATGAGCATGTCATCAACGTATAACAATAAAATAATGAAGCTACTGTCAAACCTCTTGAGATAGCAACAATGATCTGCTTGGCATCTAGTGAAACCGTCGCTGCTCATAAAGTTGTCAAATTTCTTGTACCACTGCCTGGGAGCTTGTTTCAATCCATACAAGCTCTTTTTCAAATGGCATACTAGATTTTCCTTGCCTGCCTTCATGAAGCCTTCTAGTTGCTTCATATAGATCTCCTCCTCTAAATCACCAAGAAGGAAAGTTGTTTTTACATCTAACTGCTCAAGATGTAAATTCTCAGCAGCTACAATTTTCAACACTAATCTGATTATAGTCAGTTTCACAACCGGAGAAAAAATTTCATTGTAGTCGATACCTTCCTTTTGCTGAAAGCCTTTGACAACCAATCTTGTCTTATAGCGCTTGTTCCCATCATGCTCTTCTTTGATCATGTATATCCATTTGTTATGAAGAGCTTTCTTACCTTGTGGTAATTCAGCTAAGTTCCACATCTGATTTGACATGAGTGAGTCCATCTCATCTTGCATAGTAGACTCCCACTTGACTGAATCCTCCACCTGCATTGCTTCATCATAACACTCCGGTTCACCACTGCCAGTCAGCAACATGTAGTGCAAAGAAGGCGAATAACGCTGGGTTGGCTTAGGAATTTTGGAGGAGCGTCTCACTTCTGGCGTGCTTGGTTCTTCTTGAACTGCTTCAGGGCTTGTTTGAACATCATTTTTAGAAATCTCCTCAAATTCAGCAAATTTCTTTGTTTCAGCTATTGTACTGGAGCTACTTGATTCTGCAGTTGATCTGTCTTTGTACATCACATTCCCATTGAATATAACATCTCTGCTTCTGATGATCTTCCGATTTTCATAATCCCAAAATCGGTAACCAAACTCATCACCACCATAACTAACAAAAAACACATTTGTTAGATTTGGCATCAAGTTTACTTCTTTCAGCAGAATCTATGTGTACATAAGAGATACAACCAAAAATTCTTGAATGTGAAAGGTTTACCTTTTTCTGCTCCAAGCTTCTTCCGGTATTCCACCATCCAAGGGAACTGAGGGACCGCGATTGATTAGGTACATAGGAACTTGGGCAGTCCGGCATGTATCCTCATGCTTCTGGCACGTTCATTCAAAGTTCTGTTCATGCGCTCCGCTACGCCATTCTGCTGCGGTGTCATGGGAACTGTTTTCTCCATCTTGATCCCGCTGTTTGCGCAAAACTCTTTGAATCTACTGTCTTTGTACTCTCCTCCATTGTCTGACCTCAACTTCTTTATCTTCAAACCAGTTTCATTTTTCACCATGGCCTTCCATTTTCTGAAGGTATCAAAGACTTCTGATTTCTTCTTTAGAAAATAGACCCACACCTTCCTTGTAGAATCATCAATGAAGGTGACATAGTACAGTGAGCCTGCAAGAGATGAAACTGGAGATGGTCCCCATACGTCGGTATGAATCAATTCTAACTTTTTTGTCTTGGGTGTCTTGCCAATCTTTACAAAACTGACTTTCTTCTGTTTGTCAAAGATGCAATCCTCGCATAGGCTGACATTTACATCCTTCAGATCCGGCAGCTTCCCTTTTGACAGAAGTGTCTTCATCCCTTTCTCGCTCATATGGCCAAGCCTTTGGTGCCATAGGTTTAATTTTTTATCTGTATATGTTACTGCAATGATATTCTCTAAGTTCGAGGTTATATAGAGAGTACCACTTTTCTCACCTCGATCAATGACGAGTGCTCCTTTGGTAATCTTCCATTCATGACCCGAGAAGGTTGTACAATAACCCTCTCCATCAAGCTGTCCCACAGAGATCAAATTTCTTCTAAGACCAGGAATATGTCTCACTCCTTGCAGCTTCCATGTGGTCTGATTTGGCAATTTTAATCGGATGTCTCCCTTGCCAACAATCTTCAAGGTTTCATCATCTGCTAGATGTACCTTTCCGAAATCACCACTGACGTAGTTCTCCATGATTTCTCGGCATGGGGTGGAATGGAAGGATGCCCCTGAATCAAGAATCCATGATTCAATCGGACTATTGACGCTTAGAATCATAGCATCACATCCTTCCTCGGTCACGTTGGCAGACTCCTATGCGCCGGTGTTTTTCTTCGGTGCCCGGCACTCCCTCTTTAAATGACCCTTCTTGCCAAAATTGTAGCACTTGAAGTCTTTCTTTCCTGATCTAGATTTGCTCCTTCTAGATTTTGATCTGCAGTGATTTGAACTTCTTTCAAAAGTTCTTCCCCTAGACTCCGTGTGTAAAGCTGAGGAGGTTGAAGCTTTACCTGATTCTCTCCGCCGAATTTCTTCACTAAGAATCAGATCACGAACGTCATCGAACTTCAACTTGTTGCTTCTCGATGAGCTACTCACAGCCGTGACTGTAGCGTTCCAGCTTTCTGGTAGAGAAGAAAGAAGTATCAATGCTCGTACTTCTTCATCAAATTCAATCCCAACTGAACTCAACTGGGTTGTGACTATTTTGAGTTCATTGAGATGTTGAGCTATCGATGCGCCTTCCGTCATTCGCAAATTGAACAACCGCCTCATCAAGTGAACTTTGTTTGAGGCAGAGGGCTTCTCGTACATGCTGTAGAGAGCCGCCATAAGACCCGCCGTGGTCTTTTCCTTTGCTATGTTGAAGGCAACGTTGCGGGATAGCTTCAATCGGATAACTCCCAGGGCTTGTTTGTCAAGGAGAGCCCACTCTTCATCCTTCATATCATCTGGCTTCTTTCCCGAGAGAGGTTGATACAGCTTCTTTTGGTACAGATAATCTTCGATCTGCATTTTCCAAAAGCCGAAGTCCGCACCATCGAACTTCTCAATTTTCATCTTCCCTTCGTCTGCAGCCATCGCTCCCACTCGAATCCGACTTCCTCTGGATCGTTTCTGACAATTTCTGCGAACCACCTTGTATTTAAGATACATCTGCCGACAAGTCAGTACCACCGGCAAAA